ATTGATTGATTGATTGATTGATTGATTGATTGATTGATTGATTGATTGATTGATTGATTGATTTATTTATTTATTTATTTATTTATTTATTTATTTATTTATTTATTTATTTATTTATTTATTTATTTATTTATTTATTTATTTATTTATTTATTTATTTATTTATTTATTTATTTATTTATTTATTTATTTATTTATTTATTTATTTATTTATTTATTTATTTATTTATTTATTTATTTATTGCATCCTTTTTGTAACAGGGGCTCACTATGTAAATTAGGAGCTGCACCAAATAAAAAAAAAAATTACATTTCACTCAAAGGCTAATGAAAAAACTTTCAATAGACAAAATAGAAACTGAGTTACATGAACTAAAATAACAAAATATTACAACAACAAAAACATCTTAAAGTAGAAAAAATAAGAAAACTAATATATAAGAAGTACATTGGAGAAATATTAATTATTATCTGTATACTTCTTTCTACTCTCCATGGCATCAATTAAGAATTTGTTTGTAAAAGAATCAATTTCGTCACACAGGACTGAATTGTACTGCCTTGTGCTGTCACCCAGGAATAAACATAGCACTTCCTTGTCTTTATGTAAATTTATTATCGTTTTTGTTGCATAGAAGCATTTCAATCCCTTCCATTAGGGTTTTTCTCTGTGCCGAGAAACATTCACAAAATAAAATGAAATGAAATGCTCAAGTGCTTCAGGTTCCTTTTTGCAACATGGAAACATACAATCATTATTATCCAAGTTTGCCCATTTCCTTTCCTCATATGCCAAACCAAGAGTGCAGGATCTTGCCTTGAATTTTAATTGGGTGCCCTTGAAGTTGGATAAAGAATTTAAATATTTCTCACAATATTTTAAATTTGTTTTAAATTTTCTATTAGTGAATTGACTTTTGTTTATCTTTATAGTTCTTTCTATATCTTCAATGCTATTTAGCCGTGTTCTGTTTCTACTGGTTAGCCTCGCTAGATTTGAGCGATACTTACCCGCACATACCGATACACCCAGTGAGTCAGCGACTCCCTCGATTCGCCCAGCTGGGCCAAGTAGACAAGTACAGGGTGTTCCCCCTGGGGTTTTGCATGGCTCCATTTGTATTCACAAGAGTGTGGAAACAGGTGATGCTACTGCTGCACCAGTACGCATCACATCGGTACACATCAACGTGTACCTGGATGGCTGGTTGCTACACAACCTAACAAGTGGTGGTTAGTCAAACAGTAAAGCTAAGTTGTGCTTCCTAGGAAATTGAGCAAGTCCCACCCTCAGCCAACACAACAGTTGGTGTTTCTGGGCAGCGAGTTTGACACGGAGGTGGGCTTGGTACAGTCGCCACAGGCCCGTTGCCTAAACATCCTAGCTGAACGCCCAATCAGCAGTCCCTCTGTGTCCCTCCGAGAATTGATGCGAATCATCGAAATGATATCTGCGGTTCGCAGGGTAGTTCCCCCAGGCCGCGTTACGCATCCGCCCATTACAGCGCACCTTTGTTGCAACACAGGGCTCTCTTACAGGAACTGGAGAGGCGAGTAACACTCTTGGACCAAGCGAGGGATGTCTTGCCCTTGTCTATTAATATTGAATATAGCATGAGTATTTTGTTGCTCTAATTTGATAACTGAATAAATTTTGGTTTAAGTGTGCTTCCACTAGAGATATGTGCAGTAGGTGTAGGAGTTGGATTTGCTGGACATGACAGTAACTCTGAAAGTAACAATGTCTAATTTCTTTTTAGGTTTCCTAATCCTGTGACATTTGCAGCCATGTTAGAAATGAGTCAAGTATATCTACCAGTCAATAATAACTGGCAACGCTATCTCAATGAAACTCAGGGTACTTACGAAGATCTGCAGAAAGAGATGAAGTTATCATTGATGCACCTTGCTAATGACTCGTGTGAATTATTGCACAATGATCGGTAAGAAAACATTCAAGGGTTTGTAGAATGAAATCATTATGTGACATGCACAGTCCTTGCACTGTAATCTTGTCCAGCTTGTAATAGTTTTCTATTCTTAGATTTAGGGATGTTTTTCATTCTCCGTATGTTATTATCTTGTTGATTCTGTTAAAATAAACCCCAATATTTTAAGTAGTATCCATTGTGTATTTTTTATGCAAAAATGATGACCATAATGGAAATTTATTACTACTACTAATAATATTAATTTTATTATTCGATCTTTAGAAATAAACATGTTTCTATCAGTATATAGCAACAAGGAATTGAACAAAAAATGAAATCTGTTGTGGATAAAATTACATACTGTGTTTCATTTCTAACTAGAAGGCATTGTGTATAAATTCTCCTACAGATTTGATAATATTTTTATTTGTGTTTTGCAATAAATTAATAATTTTTTTAAGGATTGGTTTATATTTCTATAGGAAACACTACAATTTTCAAAGTGATATAGATATTTGGGTCATTCAATGAAAAAGTGAGCATTGACTACAAATTCTATCTTCTCAAGTTGTTTTTGAATTTGTATGCCTTCTTTTTCAATAAGCTAGGTTATGGTTGCTTGTTCTCAACTTAGCTACTGAAATTTTTTGTCTTGGATTCAGTATAGTTAGTGTTTCTCAAAATTGCATTTTGTTTTAAATGTGGCATCTGTACTCAGTTTAGTTTTTTCTTTCACTATTTTTTGGTTTCAAATCTTCATTCTTCTTATTAAGATAGGATGTTGTAGGTTTATAACACACAGTAATTTTCATTACAGGTATAAGAAAGACCCATGGTTATGGGAACTGGATTGGTCAAGTACGGAACTGAAAATGAAAAAAATTAAAGGGAAAAGTAAAAATGGCAATAATACACAGACTGATGTTGGAGAAGTTACAAATGATGGTTTGTCTCAGAAAAGTCAAAGCATGGTGAGCGCTGTTGATATGAAAGACAATGAAGATGATTGCAACCATGCTTTGAATTTCAAGGAGGCTCCCTATGGCCAGTCAGCTGAAAGTGTCAGGAGTTCTGATGAGTTTGAATTTGATGAAAATAGTGCTTATGAGGAATATGCTGAAAATTCTTTTCTTAGTACAGGAAATGAATGTGATCAAACGATTGAAAGTTTGCCATTCAATACACAGAAACGATCTTATTCCCAAGATGCATCAGTTTCTAAGCCAACTTTTAAAACTTCTGAACTGGTTGCTATAGCTAGAAAGAGGAAGCGAGAAGATGAAAAAAGACTTGAAGCTGAAAACCGCATCAATGATATTTTAGCATCCAAGAACTTATTATATAAACGTAAACAACATATGGTTGGTTATCCAAAGTAAGTAATTGACTATTAATTATTATACTTCATGTGCAAGATTGTCTTGTTGAATAAACAAAATGTGGTCATGTGACAGTCAATAAAACTCAGTAACTCAGAGTCAATAATGAAAATTCAGTGACCAGTTTTCAAAACGAGTATATACCGGTATTTATATAAACATATATTTACATCATTATCAGCCAATATTCCATCAAACCTCAGCAGAATTATTGACCATGGCTGTGACTTGCTTCATTCAAACTTGGCATGAGTACCCTCACACATGGTGAGTTACTTCAGAACATAGTTTTGTTTCACAAGATAAACAAGATATTTCATAATTTTTCACCCAAGTGTTTTCTCTTAGTTTATTTATAGTATGTATTTATTTTCATCCTCATGTATATTAACCTACCATACTTGTAGCTATGGCTTCCGCCATTTCTACCTTGCCAGGCAGCTTCCGCTGCCTTACTAACCCTTACGTGGTTTCGGCTTACGCTGTCTCTGCTAGTATGTGCAGCCTCCACAGCACTACTGATAACTTACTTACCTCAGGTAGTCAATAGCCTTCGCTGTTCTACCAGGTAGTCTTATCTCAGCTACCACAGCTTCACCTCATAATCATTACTGATTACTAATAGTTAACATTTATTTATCTTTATCGCAGTTTGTTTTAAAAAGTTTTCTGTATGTTTTGTTACCAGGTGCTAAAGGTCATTAGTACTGTCACTAACTGATCTATCTGGGGGGTCCGCTGTGGGACACGTTATCTTAGATAGCTTAGTTACAGTTTGTTAGGCAGTCAGTCATTTCCAACTTTGTACAGGCAGATTGTCCCAGCAGCGTGCCCCCCCTTGATGCCAAATAAAGTTCAGTTTACAATATTGAGTGTGTCATAAACAATACATTTATGTGTTAGGTGGGCGCATCCCCAATAACCATAGCAAGCAGTTCAAACCATCTTTCCTTAATTCTTTTGATATACTTTGCTCATACAAGATATGTTCACTTCTGAACACAACTGCATATCAATGATATTTCTGGACACAACTGCCAATGATATTTCTGGACACATCTGCCAATGATATTTCTGTACACAATTGCCAATGATATTTCTGGACACATCTGCAAATGACA